CTGCCCCGGCCGGGGGCGCGCCCGTGGCGGTGGGTGGCACGTCCCCCCCGCCCGTCCGCGGCACGACCCGGCGCTGCCGCTGTCACGGGGAGCAGTGCCAGGAGCTCGTCCGTGTGCTCCAGGATTTACTTTTGATTTTTCCGCTCCGTCTCCGAACCCGCCACCCGAGGTTTTGCTAAATCCTCGCCCCTTTGTCGCCGTCTCTGCCGGCTGCCGGGGGGAGCGCTCCTGACAGGCACCTGCCCGACCCGGAGTTTCCCTCTGCCAGTCTCCAGCTTTTTCTGACTGCGGAAGAAACTTCGCTACAATCTAAGTTTTCTGAAACACTTTGCACTAGCTCCTAAGCTGAAATGAGTTTAAACTGAGAAAAGCTCTCCGCTGGTTTTAGTTCGTGCAAATGAGCGCAGCGCTTCTGCGAAAATAATTCTCAAATTCAGATGCAGAGACTCCAGGGCGTGTGATCTGGAGGTGCCCTTTCACTCTGGTCCGTGCTACTTGGGTGGGAGTTAGCAGCGGCCCCTTATTTCTACTTTATATTATTTTGGTACAGTGCATTCATATATTTGTCTGCTGTAGTCTGCTGGCAAACATTAGCATTCAAGCTTACATTTTTGACAAATGTGCAGACAGGAATAGCATGAATAGGCATCTTAAATATTAACAACCTAAGCATCTGTTGTGAAACAAATTTAATATATTTACTCTGTTTTTCTCACATTGTTAGGAAAGGTTACAATAAGTGTAAAATTTCAGCTGTAGTTAGCACAAGGAATGCTTAGATATTTCACTATCTGTTCAAGCATTTAACACAATCACCAGATAGAAATGTGTCAAATCAGGCGCACTATTCAAAAACAACTTGAAACTGTAAGCGTAGAGTGTATAGACATGAATATAGCATGTTCTCTGCAATTTCTATCTTCTAATTACTCTTCAGCACTATTTGTAGAATTTGAGAATGCTCTTTCCAGTCCCGTACTCCTATATGCTCTTTAATATGTTTATACCTACACACACTCATTTTCTAATTCACTTTCTGCTTGAGATTGTTATTGGTATTACTTTGCTTTTCGAGTAGAAGCAATGGTTTTGCAAGGAAATGTGAAATAACATAGAGTAGGTAAAAAAATGAGCAGGCAGAAAATGCAACGTGTTCACATATAAGCATGCGTCGGAACAGATAGTGCACACACATAATAAGGCAATAGAAGAGAAATTAAAATCCTTGGCTAGTATGCTATGTATGCCCACTCTTCAGTACAGCTAGTGGAAAAGAAACAACTGACTCCAAGGAATTCCTCTGTCCCTGTAATAAAACTGTTCAGAGTAGAACAAGAGCACAGAAGAGCAAAGCCTCAAAAAAGGCTGTAGAGTTATTTCAGGAATCAGTGCATTCCTTCCCTTTTTCCCACAAGTTCAAATATGTAATAAATAAGTCCTTTGTATGCAAAATAGTTTACTGGAACAAAAAACATTTAAATGAAATGCTTTTTGTGCATGAATTTTGAAAAACTGTCCATTTCCTTTTTATATTCTTTGTTCTTGATACTTTAAATAGCAAAGTAACTCTCGCAGTTTCCCCTCTCATGCTATTTTAGCGACTCGTGTGAATCCTAACCTGCTGCTGTGCTCCCGAGGAAGCAGTGTGAAGCAGAGTCGATCTGTAACTCACTGATGGGACACAGTGCCTTGGCAGTATCAGAAGCAGAGAGAGGCTGCCACGGCAGCCCCAGCTTGCAGACGAGCAGGGCACCTCTTTGGTTTGCAGCGTAGGCCCAGCGGGTCAGCGGATGAGCACCTGCCCTCTGTGCTTCCCAAGGCAGCGCCAGCCCTGCCCGCAGCCCTGCCAGCATCCCACAGGCACCAGCCACCACGTTCAGCCCTGCTGGGGACGTGGGCACATCCAGCCCAGCAGCACTAAAACCTCTTTAGAGAGGTTTCTCTAAAGAAAATGTTTCTCCCACGTTACAGGTTTGGGATAGAGAGGGTTTTACATGTGTGCAACTGCCATTTAGATGATAATCTGCTGAAGTCTGGTGTTCTTCTTAAAAAAAAGATCAACAAAAAACCCCACCAAATCTTTTAAATGTATCAACTACTTGATTTTTCAAAGTACTGTTACCTTTTTAATGTCACCTATTTTTTTTAGTCTAAGTATTGTCAGAGGAATTTGAAGTAATTCCTTAGGTTTCCAGCTGTATTTGAAAAAAAAAAAATTAGGAAGATTATTAAAAAAATAGTTCATAATATATAGAAAAATACATTAAAGTAGATTTCTGAATTAAAACTGAAGGAAATACGACTTCTGAAATGTTTTAGTCATATTTCTAGGAAGTATGGTATTTTAACATAGACTCTAGTGAAGCATTTTATTGCCTTCTTGTATATAACTGCCATTGCTCTCTCTAGATATATTTAATATATATCCAGTGAAGCTACAAACTTTCCTTCTACAACAGTTTAAACACATCTGGAACATTTTACTTTCTTATAATTTATGTTAATAGATGTAGAGTGTATATACAATCTTCTCAGACATCATTGCTTTTTCCAAAGGGGAATTTTTTTACTTTCAGTCAGGGAATATATTTATAAGAACAAAATAACTCAAAGTATAGGCAATTCTATATATCATTTTATTTTCTGTTATATTAGGTTGATTATATAAAGCTTTCATTTAGAGCGATGGGATGATGAAATTACAGAGGAGTGATTGGCTTTTGTTTTTTCAAATGGTTCAAGTTGAGGGCTGCAAAAATGAATGTTTTTTTGTAAAGTTCTTTGAGTGCATAATATTTTTCATAGAATTCTGACAAATTAATTTAATAGAAAAGCCACAAGTCTCTTAGCCAGGTAAAATGGAAGTTCTGCTTTTGCCGTTATAGGCACCAGGCTTCAGTAACCTGCTGCTCTTGTGGAATGAACACTTTCTACTTAAAGCTATCATGCACCTACTGTTTATTTACGCTGCATTAAACTGACAGCACAGCAATCAGAGGAAAAAATATGACTTACTTTCCTGAAGTAAACACCAGTTTATAGGTTAGTGCCTGTATTTATATTCCTGTCGCCACTAAATAATGGCTGTCTCCATTTTAATATCTACCTGTGGTGTTACCCAGGGCAGCTGGCTCTTCCTTGTTTAAAACAAGCAAAAAAGGAAGGTGGGGGTAAGGAAGAGAAGAAAGTTTTGTTATCATTCCACTCTAAGAGGAACTTAATAGAAAAGTGATTCAGTATTCATTTCTGTGGCAAGCCGAAGCCAGTTTTAAAGACATAGTATTCAGTTTTACTTGGTGTAATTTAATTGCATCTCAAACAGGGAAAACAGAATTCCTTAACAGTATTTGTCTATCCAAGACACTGTAATTGTATATTCAGGCAATGGCAGATTAAGGGCAGAAGCATTTTATTAATAACTGAAAGCACATATGTGTGTGTGATGAAAAATGTTCTGCAAATCTGTCACTATGCAATCAAGTGCATTTTTTAAACTTTAGTTGTCACAAAGTTGCTACTGATTCTAAAAAAAAAAAAAAAAGAAAAAAAGAAAGAAGTAAAACAGTTTGACGGTTAAAGAGTAACTTACAGTTCTTACTGCCTGCTATACGGAAATTTTGCAACTTTATAAAGTCAGTCTCAGAAAGCCCTGTTGATGTTACTTTTAATCTTGGAGTGATGAGTCCAAGTAGCCAGAATTTGAACTGATGATAACTGCAGTCAGAATAACTTACAGTTTGCAAAAAGCTTCTCTGAATTGTCAGTTGAAGGATTCCATTAATAACTTCTACCTGAGAGGTTAATTCCTCCCTCAGATTCTCAAAGTATTATACTTACTAACACTAAGTTGGCTTGTTGGTCAGTTTCCTTTGCTGTGGTATCATGAACTCTCAACAGCCCTGACCACAACTTGTAACTGTTACTTCCAAGAGGATATACTATGATGTTCCCTTCAAAAATGCTGGTGGTTTTGAACATTTGCCATCCTGTGGCATCTAAGTTTACCACAGTTATCACCAACACTTCATTACATAATGGGTATCCATTCTATTGCTTTGCAAATGTCAGCTTTCTCATGGTTTCTGCACAGCATTGCTCTCAGTAGGTTTGTCTTGATAGAGATTCATTTTAAGGAGACTTGCCAGCACTGATCTTGTAAATATCTTCTGATCTGGTCCTTGTGCCCTGTACCAGTTGTAACCTACTCTTAATCTGTTTTATCTGGTGCTGTGTACTAGGAAAGGCATAGTAATAGTAGAGTACAGTAGTAGAGTGTAGTAACATACCTCAGGCACTGTCTGAATTCTAAATATTTCCTTTTAAACTTGCTGAGCCTGACTTTGCTCCCATGCACACTGGTGTCTCGCTGCAGAGCTTGGTTTTCACTGTTCCTGTAGAGGATCAGTGTTAGGTGCTCAGATGGGCTGAGGGACGCAGTTAACACTTAGTATTTGTGGCAAGGTCCACCTTTCAGCTATTTATTTAGAACACCAACGCACAGCAATCTCTTTGGAGACTGATTCCCCTGTGAAACACCGTGCATTTGTGTTTGCTGGGAGTGGGACTGTAAGACTTGCTTCCACCGGAGAGCAGGCTAGCTGCTGTC